TCTACAGTTGCAGTACTCAAAGCCCAAGAGAAGTCTGCATTGTGCAGTGGTGGAGAGCTCTCAGCTTCAGGTCGGTTACCAGCTCACAGAACACCTTATTTGCTAAACATATAGAAATTGACCATCACTTTGTGAGGGAGAAGGTGCCAAGTGGAGTGATAGCCACTGCACATGTTGACCCTGCTTGCTATTTATGTGGATGATATTGTAGTGACAGGAAATAATAGTAGTGAGATTGAGTCCCTCAAACAGCTCCTTCATCAAGAGTTTGAGGTGAAAGATCTTGGTGCACTACGGTACTTTTTGGGTATTGAGGTTGCTAGATCTAAACAAGAGATATTTATCTCTCAGAGAAAATATGTTGTAGATCTGTTGGCGGAAACTGAAAAGTTAGGTGTCAAGCCTACTGATACACCCATTGAACAGAATCACAAGATCAGTGCAGAGGGCGGGGAGCCTCTTAAAGACAAAGTTATGTTCCAACGGTTGGTTGGAAAGCTCCTATATCTCTGCCTCACTCGGCCAGATATCAGTTATGCAGTTAGTGTTGTCAGCCAGTACATGCATTCCCCTAGAACTACTCATCTTCTTGCGGCAGAGAGAATATTAGCATACTTGAAGAGATGCTTGGGTAGGGGTATACTGTTCAAGAACGATAATCACATGAAGGTGGAGGTCTATACAGATGCTGATTGGGCTGGGAGTGTTGATGACAGGAGGTCTACCTCTGGATATTGTGCCCTTGTGGGAGGTAACTTTGTCTCTTGGAGGAGTAAGAAACAAAGTGTTATTTCCTGCTCTAGTGCCGAAGCTGAATACAGGTCAGTGGCTAACGGAGTGGCTGAAATCCTATGGCTGAGATCACTACTTGAAGAGTTGGGTATTGATTATGAGAAGCCCTTGATGTTGTATTGTAATAATCAGGCGGCTATTAATATAGCTCACAATCTGGTGCAACATGACAGAACTAAGCATATCGAAGTTGATCGACATTTTGTCCGAGAGAGGGTCTCATCACAGGAAGTGTGTCTCCCGTATATCACATCCAACATGCAGCTCGCAGATATCCTAACCAAGGCTGTACCAAGGAAGAAGTTAGAGTCAGACCTATCAAATATCATTCCCAACTTGAGGGGGAGTGTAGAGAACACTGATGTGGGCCCCACTGTGTTCGTAGGACAGTATGTACAATTATTTGTTTCAGTCATGTTAGTGTTAGTTGGTGGTCAGCTTGTTATTTCAGTTGTTATTTATTTAACTTGTTTTTTGCTTTATTTGTCATGTAAGTATTAAGGGCAGATCTGTCCTTTCCTCTATGTACTGAACACAACCTATAAATACTAAGAGAGTGGCGGTGGCAGATCAATTGGTGAATCTGTCCCTCCTTTCAAACCTTTGTGTTCTCCTGTTCTTCTCCTCTCTTTTCTTCTTTTCCTTACTTTTCTTCTACCTTTTCTAATCTGAAATCCATTAGGATTCAAGGCTGATTGTAGTCTTGATCGCCCACTCACTCCAATGAAGCTTTATTGTGACAACCAAGTTGCAGCCCACATCTCTTCTAATCCAGTTTTTTCATGAGAGAACAAAACATATAGAAATTGACCATCACTTTGTGAGGGAGAAGGTGCCAAGTGGAGTGATAGCCACTGCACATGTTAACACAGGAAATCAATGGGCGGACTTATTCACCAAAGGGTTGAGTCGAGGAAGAGTGGACTACATATGTAACAAGCTGGGGCCGGTGTCTTAAAACGCGGAGGCGTGATGTGAGGCATTCCACTACCCGGAGCGTGAGGCGTAGTTCAGAATGTGGGAGGCATAAGCCTCCCGAGCACAGGGAGGCGTAAGCCTCAAGTATGTATTTTTTTTATAATTATAGTGGGTATATTAATAAAAAATAGATATTTTAAGCATAAAAACATATATAACACTAAAATGACTTAATTTCAATCAATATTTGAGTTCTAAATCTCAAGTTTTCAACACCAACTAACAATATAACATAGTGAAAATGTGAAATACAATTATCGATTCAAGTATGCAACATAGATCAGAAAAAAAAAAAAAAAACTCTGAGGACTGAAACTTAGTCAAAAGACTCTAAATTATCTTCCTCTAGAATAACAAAGGCATCATCATCTGCTTCAAGAGTTACATAATTTATTCATGCAGCTTTGTCACAGGTTCACAGCCGCCTAGGTTGGTTTGTTACTCGGTTGGCCCAACCCAGATCTCTATGAAAGGTACCATGCTTTTAACTCGCCAGGGTCGAGTTCTTTCAAGCTGGGAGAGATGATAGGAATCGATCAGCACCCTTGAAGGCTTATTCTAGAAAGAAGGTGGCCTTACAACAGGTCCTGATATGGCATAGTGATGGTACTTGGGATTTGGACTGAACTGAACACCAATGGTATTTTTGCCATTTTACAATTTTTCTGTAGGGTCCAATAATAGGGTTTGGTTGTCTATTTATAGTTTGTTTATGTTTAAAATTCAGAGTCATTGCATAAGTAGGATTAGAGTTATTGAGTTTTCTTTGAATTGAAATAGGATATGACAACTTAGTTTGAGTCTTACTAGGATTATTGAATCAGTTGTAAATCAGTCCTCTAAATCTGATGTAAACTTGGGAAAAATTAGAGAAAAAAGAGGAAGAAAAGAAGAGAACAGCAGTACAAGAGAAGGAAAATGGAGAAAAGAGGAGGAAGAAGAAGAAGAGTTCGAATGTCTCTTCCCTCCCTTCTCTAATCCTTTTACTAAACTTCAATCTTAACATAATTACAAGTATACCCTTACGTGGGCAGCCAGCTAGGGAGTGTTTCTCCATCTTTATTAACATAATTACAAGTATACCCTTACTAAACTTGAGTATGAACCAGTGAAGGGATGGTACACATTCAACTCATTACGAAGGTTCCTCATGCTAGCATAGTATTCCTCAAGACTTTGGCTACCTTGTTGTAGATTAAAGTACTCATGATAAAGCTGATACACTCTAGTAGTGTTGTCCTAAGTACAGATTCTTGGCATGGTCCCAAATCTCCTTGGCTATATCTAAGAACATAGAATTCACATTAATCTTGGGTTCCATACTATTCCACAACCAGGTCATAATCTATGCATCTTCTTGTTCCCAATCACTATACTCCTAAGAATCGGCGAGAGGTTTTTCTTTTCTTACATGCTTCACTTTCTTCTCAACCCTAAGGAAGACCTCTACAGATTTCGCCCAAGGCACATAATTTTCCCCATTCAATTTGATAGAGGTCATCTAAGCATTCAGGTAATCAGTGGGAACCATGACACTAGATTTGTATTCACTACTGTCTCCCATATCTAATTTTTTTACACCTGTACATCACACTTCTAATTCACTTCTCACTTACAGCCACTTCTCACCACACTACACACTAGTGGAAACACCTACAGTGATGGTTTTCAGCAATAACAGTTGTTGATACTCTTTGTTCTCAGCACCACAAACCTACCTCAACATAGAAACTCACCAACCACTCGATTCACAGTGAAACATCCATACAATCCACCTATTCAATCAGCAAAGATACAACCTGCACTCGACTGCCCACTGCACCACCCGAAACAACTCTCTCCGTACCATCAATTAGAGGGTTCCCTACAAACCACCACAAACACCCACTAAACCACCAACTAAAGGCATGAAAACCTCCAAAGGGAAAGGGCGATCACTCCTTTTCAGCCCTTTTCCTTATCTCCAACTGATGATGCAAAAATCTGGAAAACCCTAGGCTAAATGGCGGTAAAGAGAATTCTGGGCAGATCTGAATTTGTCACAGTTGCTCTGATACCATGATAAAGTTCAGACCTGCACTAGAATTCAGTAAGAAATAACAGTAGCAGAAAACTAAAGAGGATAGAGAGAGAAGAGAAGAGAAGAGAAGAGAGAAGGAAAAATTGGTTCGAACTAGAAAGAGAGTTCTGTGCTCCCTAGTTGGCCAGATTGTATTTATACTTTTCTAATGAAAAACAAAAGGTCTGTTGTGCCCCTACTTAAGTATGGGACACATCACTTAAGTTAAACATGATACCCCGCACCAAACATAAATAAATTGGCAAAACTACCCCTATACAGTCGACACTAACAAACCCCATTATTGGACCCTACAGAAAAATTGTAAAATGGCAGAAAAAATACCCTTGGTGTTCAATTCAGTCCAAATCCCAAGTACCATCAYTATGCCATATCAGGACCTGTTGTAAGGCCTTCTTTCTAGAATAAGGCTTCAAGGGTTCTGATCGATTCCTATCACTACCCAGCCTTGGATTGGTTATCTCATATCAGGCAGCACAACCCATTCCCTTTCATAGACCTTTGAGAAAATGGCACCAAATTTTACAGGAGTAGCAGCACAAAACATTCTCTTCTAAACTAACATTGCCCTTTCTTTCAAACATTTGATTGGGGGAGGGGCTGGGGGAACTATATTTGAATTTGTACTTCCCAGCAAGGGCACATGCACACAAGCATGTATGTAGTGTTTCTACCATCTTACATCTCCAAGGCATTAGAAACAATGACCCGCCATCATTTTAATATTCTCCCACTACAGGATCAAATGACAAACTTACTAGAAACAATGATCCACCATATCTGACTTCTGGTTAAGCATAAAGGTGTCAGAGCATATAAAGGAATGGTACCGAACAATTTAAAAATAAATACAATAAAGCCATAAAAAAGTAAAGAAATATAAATTAATAACTTGTTTTTTAAAGAAAGATAAAGGTAATTTATTGAACGGGTAGACTAATTACTTGTTCTATGTATGATCAATTTATTTAGTTTCCATCAGTTGCACTGCAAGATATTTTCAAGACTAATTACTTGTTCTATGTCTTTTTTTATGTTATTTCCACCAATGCTTTTAAATAATTGCACTACAAAGCTAAGCATGTATGTACAGCCTCAATAAGCCAAAAGGTGAATAATTCAAAAAMGAAAATAGAATCAAGGAACCTACCAATTCAATTTTATTCTTAACAGCTTCTTTTCTCAAAATTCCAGTCTCCTCCAGAGGAACATCTGGAACCACAAGCCCTAAAAGAATGCCGGATAAAATAAAAATTATACTGCAAAGTAGGTGAATAATGGAAGTAGGTAAAGAAGTGCTAAAACTGATGAGCATCCATTGGACTTTCTGGGATTTATTATGATTAAGGACTTTCATGCCTGCAGTGCATGTGGTTCTGCCATGTGGAATGTTGACATGGCAGACCCAAACCATCCATAGTTGAGGGGACTTCCAGATCAGCCATGTACAAGATGATTCTTGTCCATACCAGTCCCATTTCCTACATGCATTTTTTAACATTTTAATTTCTTAAATTCGGAGGAACAATGCCAATCAAAATAGTGGAGGAACAACTTCTTTTTTACATAGCAAAAGGCTGTTAAACTGAAACTAGCCACATGGAAAAACAGAAATACATGGACCCATGTTTAACAGCCACTTGCATTTCAACATACCAGAATCATGTAGCAACAGGATTTCAAACCACTCTTATTGCAACCACAAACCTAGCCTCTATAAGAAATTAGTTACTTAGACTAGAACCTCCACAGTTTGCACACTACAACTTGCAGTTATTTCTAATTCTTGGACAATTAGATATGTGAATTACACATTTTTCTATCTAACAACATCCTTTGCAGCAAATGGCTAAAATATGTTATCTGTGATTTCTGAATTGAACTAAAACCTGATGTTACTAAATGGGCCATGTTTTCAGATCCAATTTGATCCATTTATGACTGAACAAATATGATTCAATGGATTGGATATCTGAATCTTACATAAACAAATAGGACTCTAATTCAAATCGGATTAAATCAAATCCATTTGCAGCCTAGCTTCACACAAAACTGTGTAACAGAACCTGTTGTTTCCCTTTTTCTCATATGTGATTGGTTGGGTGACTTGATGGCTCCAGAACTGAAAGAAGAGGAATCAAATACTATAATACAGTCAGAAGTTTTCTTTTCTTTTCTTCCTTTTTTCTAGAAGTAGGGAGGGATGAGAAATCTCTAGATCACATATAAGGCCAAAGCAACATTCTTGCAAATACCTTACACCATATTCTCTTCATGGCAATGTTCCCAAGTGATGACTAATTGTTTTAGTTTCCCTAGGTGAACCACTAACTACTGGGTATCTAGATGACAAGTTGTTAACTGGGAAAAAATTCAATATGTTGAATGTAAACACATAGTTGGTTAATTATTGCTTGGGGTTCCAAACACCTAGCCAGTCAATTAGTTGATGACTATTCAAGACTCCGATATGTTGCTCTCTACTAATAAATTAAAAGCACAGTCACCAGTGCCTGAAATGTCACGTTAGTGGTTGCTCAGAAAGACAAAAATTTAATTTACCTAGGTAGGTATGGCCTAGTCTCCTTAACATAAATAAACCTAACCTTATTGGTTTCAATAGTTTTAACCCCTTGCCCTTAGACATTCAGCATATCACAACTACTTTAGACAGAAGATACATTACCATGTACACCAGCATCTTTTATAGTAGCCATGAATTTCTCAACTCCACGCTTAAGAATTGGATTGTAATATGAAAATAATGCAATCGGACAAGATAGCTGTGGGACCACCTGTTTAGTCAATGATGAAACCCAGATATTAAAGGTTTATAGCACATCACTCTAGTGCAGAAGCAAATAAGTTTAATAAACACATCAAAAGAAATTACTACAAAAAGACAAACTTATTGTTCATGTAAACACATATACTTTTAACTGGCTACATGTAACATATATACACACACAAGGTTCAAAGTATCGATACACCCGATATGCACAAACATGCATATTGGGTGTTTTGATGCTATCAAACATTACATTTTTTATTTTATTTTTCCTTTGATATTTTAACAGGGGTTTCATTTTAATAATATTTAACAGTTAAAAACATGTGCTTCTTGAAAAGCCTTAAAAAAGGTGTTTCAATGAACCCCCAATACGATACCATACGCTTGAAATGGGATGCATCGTATTGATATTTTGAATCTTGTAAATGCATATACGTATATACATTGTGTGTGGTGTATGTGTTTATTTGGGCAAGTGTGCAAACATATGCCATCTATATAATGAAGCACCTTAGGTCCCACCTCTTTTAACATGGAAATTATTGCATTAAAATTGGTCCCTTTTGCTAAAGCACGGGTGGCAGCGGCCTGAAATATAGGAAGAAAACCAAGAGCTTAAGAAAAATTTGGCAAAGGAAAAAGAGAGAATAAGGAAGAAAACCCACTTAATGGCACCTGGATAACTGGACCATCTGCCAGAGGATCAGAATATGGAACACCCAATTCAATTATGTCTGATCCACAGGAATCAAGCACCTTCAATGCTTGTGCTGTAGTTGATAGATCAGGATCACCAGCTGTGATGTATGGGATAAATGCCACCTTTGCATAAAAGAAATGCTGATTAAAGAGAATGATATTAAGAAACAAGCATTTCTTTCCAAAAAATAATATCAAATTAGAAAATATATGACAAAGTAGGATTGGACTCAATTCAAAACTAGATCATTTATACCAATATGGGATGACAAAAAATTATACAAAAGGAGATCTAGGTAAAAAATGAAGGGAACTTTTTGCAACATCCAAGTATCTACAACATGCTTCCTGTAGGGAGTAGGAGCTTGTCAGTTTGCAGGTTTCAAGTAGGAAATTAATTGGTCAGATATTATGGGACTCTGGATAACTATGACAGTCAAATCAGGAAAATGTAAAAATTTCCACATTCCTCTTCTATCTTAGGATATGTATACTTGAAAAAAAAAAAAAAAGAGTTCTTTTTTTCCTTTTGGTTCTGCAACGAGAACTTAATTGGCTTAATTGGTTGATGTGTGAGGTATAAAGCTTCACCTGTTATTTACTGCTACCTTAACCTTTCTACTGATTTTATGTGCATTTTCCTAATAAGATAGCATATTTAAAAATAGTTTGCAATTTAATATCAGGGCAACGACAGAGTGGGTATGGTTGGTCCAGAAATGGGAGAGGCTAACTAGGAATGGTTTGAAATACACAACCAAAATCCATGTTTATAGTAGGTCGGAGTAGCCAGCCCAAACCTTGGAAAAAAGAAGTGGAACCTCATGAGTGTTAGCAGGTTTAGGCATGATTTCTGCATGTGTTTAAAAACACCAATAAACCATAAAGAGATTTGCTGCTTCTTTTATTTTAATGGATGGTATCTGTTTCAATTGTTATGAATATGATTTTGCAACCTATTGCTTCAAATGGTACAATTCTTTGTTTCAATTGTCAATAGATTCAAGGTAGTAATCAGAAAATGCAGATTTAATTCCGGTCATTTAAAAGTTGAAATAGTCATGAAACTGGTTCATATGTAATCTATACTTTTCATATATAAAACATTCTATAGATTGAAATTTTAGGGTCTTTTCCCTAACAAGTAATAAGCAAGTAACAGCCACTCTTTTACACAATTTTTTCTTGATAAATGAGCAATTGTACTAAGGTGTTGCAATCGGAAGGAGTAAGCAAGGCCAAAGCTCCATGGAGAAGGAATTTACATGGTTCATGAGTAAAGCCGGAGCGCATAGGTATATGCTACTTTATCAATATATACGCATCAATCTCTCCAAATTAGTGAAAATACATTTCAAATATCACTAGCTGACAAAGACTCTATACAGACAAAAAAAGTATGCAATTTGAATGTTGGTTTTCAAAACGCCTCCTTTCACTATATCTCATATCAAAGCCAACGGGAAAATAACAAAGAAAAAGGAAATGAAGTATGCCTGATCATGGCTTGGCCTTCCAATTTGTTGAAATTACCTTGTATATTGAGGGGAAAAAGTGGACAGGGTGATTAGCTATCTCCCGATTTGCTACAGTTATGTTCCTAATTGTTCGATGGGAAAAGCGAGGATCACCAATCTGTTTATTTTTTCCTCCCAAACAATGTTATAGTAGTTGCATTGTAACTTTTTCAGAATAGTCTCTCTTCAAATCGAACAAATTCCTCTACCAAAAAAAATCGAATAAATTCTATATCTAAGTGCGGAGCGAGATTGGCATAACTGTTTAGCTAGATAGACGAACAGAGAAAAAGAAAACAATGAATAAATGTAAGTAATTTCAAGGTTAAATGATTCACTTTCTTACTTTGCCTTTCTGTTTCAGTCTGGTGAATGTTTCAGAGAGCCCAACAGCCGGTGCCACAACCATAGAAGCCATTGATGTTCGAGGCTTTACAGAAACAAGAGTCGAGACGGCGCAGAATATGTCGACTATCACTATAAGATTTCTTGGATTGCAGAAAACAGTTTGCTTTTAGAGCAGCAGTCATCAGCTCCCGATGTTCTTGCTGGATCGTTCTGTTCGCTGTCCATGAAAATGCGAATGTCTGGTAAACTAATGGGTCAAAGGAAAATGCGAATGTCTCCTTGGCTGAGTCACCCGTGATCCAACATGGCCAAAGTCCAAAGAACCACATGGCAAGATGACTACTCCTGTTATCCACGTGTTGTCAATAATTTATTTAAGTGAAATTGTCAAAAATTCACCGTGAGTTTTTAGCATTTCTCTTAAATTCATCACAATTTTTCAAAACATCTAAAATTCACCATATCAGTAAGTTTTTATGTTTCAAAACTCATCTTCCATTTGTGCACCGTTAATATTTCTTAACAGAGGTGTTCATGTCAGCATAAATAACAATTTTTATGACCAAATCACCATTAAATGGCGAGTTAGAGGAAAAGGGTCTTTTTCATTTTTTAATTTTCTTTTTTTTTACATTTTTAGTGTTTTGTTATAATTTCTAATATTTTTTATAATTTATGTTTTTTTACATTTTTCTATTTTCTACCATCTATAAAATTTCATGTATTTTTTGTTATTTATTTGCATTTTTTGTATTTTTCTATAATTTTGGTGTTTTTCTACATTTTTTATTTTTATGATTTTGTTTTTCAATTTCTATAGTTTCTATAATTTGAAAATAATTTTTTATTTTGTGTGCAATTTCTATAATTTTTTATATTTTTATGTATTTTATATTTGAAAATATTTTTTGAACTTTTTCTTTTTTTTCATGTCTAAATATTAAAATATATGTATATTTTTTATATTTTCTATGAAGGTTAAAATGGTAATATATTAACAGCCGTTAGTCTCTTTAACGTCAAGTTAAAGACATGATGAGTCGTAGACATTTTAAAAAGTTGTGGTGAGTTTAAGAGAAATGCTGAAAACTCATGGTGAGTTTTTGACAATTTCCCTTTATTTAAATTTCGAAAATGTAAGTTTAGTTTTGAATAACACCCAAAAAAATAACATGCCAACCTTTTGTGGGGCCTAAGTTTTACAGGTGGCACATTCCACGTGGCCATTCAGTTGACCACATCAGACCACCAATGATTCACCCACCCTAGGCGCTTTACACAAGGTTCGGAGATACGAGGAGAAATACAACCTTGATTTGAGTTCACTTTTGCCAAGCGCCGAGTTAAAATGAAAAATCAATTTTTTGTGCACATATTTTGCTTTAACTTAAAACATTTAAGTTTATTAACTTAAGTGGACATAGCCCCAATGGAACGATTTGTGCACATATTTTATATTTTTATTTTGTTTATATGAATGGAATTTGTTTTTTATTTCTTTACTATAATTGCGGTAGATGTGTAGTGTGTTATGATTTCAGTCGTTTTCTCTTCCAGCAATTATGTCAATATAATTTAAACCAGCAAGTTAATTATATTAATTAATTTCACTTAGCTTTATCATAAGTGGTGGTTAAAAAAACTTTAGCACAAGCCATAGCCAAAAAAAAACTTTAACACAAGTCATTTCAGCAAAGAAGATGTGATTCTATTATTTAACAACTTTATTATTTTGTTCTTATACTTTTTTATTATTTCCTATATTTTTAATGTTATACTAACATTCGTAAAGTATTTTTATGATTTTTATTGTTGTTTAATGTGAGCAATAGAAGATGTGATTTTTTTTATTTTTTTTTCTATTTTTATCTTTGTTAAAAAAAATTAATTTAATCAAAGTAAACTTAAATCAATTAATTAATTTATTAATATTATTAATAGCTTGACTTTGATATCTTTTCATTATTTTCTATTTTTTATCTATGTTAAAATATATTTAATTTAATCAAGTTTACTTGGATCAATTAATTAATTTATATTACACATGGATCAAAATGGACAGGGGATAGAAAGAGAGGAAGAGAGAGGGAGGGTATGTGGGACATGATGAATCAATGAAGCCTTGGTGTCAAAGAGAGAAAGAAAGGGGTCGTGTAGGACTTGATGGGGCTTGGTGTTAAGGAGAGAGAAAGGGGGTTGTGTCATGTGTGTCACTTGATGGGGCCTGATGGTTAAAGAGAGGGGTTCGAATTTGCCCCCCACTGACTTGCGCCCCAAAATCGTCTTACACCATTAAAAGTTGCCGCGTGTCCTTTCACACGCATGCATCTCAATCTTGTGCGGAGCTAATAAAACGGCGGTTAACTCCCATTTCAACCAAAAAAGTCGGTCCCAATCTTTATCTCAGTCTCTCACTCTTTCTATCGACCTGTCCCAATCTTTTTATGTCATCCCCAGAAAGCTCTTTGTCTTGATTATGAGACTCTTAGTTCGACAAACCAACTGCTTGATTTCCCTTTAAAGCACAGAAACACATCACTTGTTTAGTTGTTTACGAGGTCTTCAGCGCCAACCCAATTAGAGATAGAGATAGAGAGAGATTGTGTGGAACCTAATAATATTACAAAGAGTGAGGGTTTGTGTGAAACTTGATGGAGCCCATTATTAGAGATAGAGAGAGATTGTGTCGAACCTAATAGGGTTTAATGTTAGACAGAGAGAAATTATGTGAGACCTAATGGGGCCCTATGTTAAGGAGAGAAAGAAGGTTGTATGGGACCCAATGTTAGAGAGAGAGAGAGAGCGTTCTATGGAACCTAATGGGGCCTTATATATGTTAACGAGAGAGAAGGATTGTGTGTGAAACCTAATGGACCCCAATGTTAAAGGGAGAGAGAGGGGTTGTATAAAACCCAATGGGCCCACTGTCATTAGAGATAGAAAGAAAGGGATTATGTGAGACTCAATGTCATAATGGGGGAGTGGGAGAGAGAGAGAGGGTTGTATGGGGCTTCGCATCCGCCCCCTACAACTTTGCCCTCCAAAAACGTCCCACGCGCTGTGAGTGCGCCGCGTGTCCTCTCGCACGCAGATTTGAGGGACTCGTGCGGAGCTAACCATGTGTCCTCTCGCCTAAAAAGGTCATCCTCCTCGTTTCAGAACACTTCAACCCTAGATCTTCTATTCTCAGAACTAAAACCCGTCGGAGATTGTTTCCTTTGAGTTTCGCCGGTCGTTGTCGACAATCACTCCGGAAGATTTATTTACCGAAGGTAAGTTTTTCTCATTTTTTATGTTTTTTATTTTTTTTCTCATTTTTTATGTTTTTTATTTTTTTTCTCATTTTTGCTGGAGTGAGAGCCCCCTTCCAGTTCCGTCGATCGACGCCAACAAGTTAGAACCACTGCAACATTTGCAACTCTGTCTCTTCCATTGACCAAAACCAAAAATCTACCTATGTCGGTAAAATCTCCCAGACTTCATTTGTAAACCAAACCAAAACCAGCCAACAAATTCAAGATATGGCTACTACAAAATGAAACGGAACCCATACCCTCAGTCCCTCAAAGAAATAACAAATCATCATGTTTAGCAGCAGAACCATTTCCTTCAAAAAGAAAAAAATAATAATAACAAAGGGGGAAAAACTGAAAGAACACTCGCCAAAAAAATATAATAAATGATGCGGCACGATCCGGGCACTCCTATCTGGCTGTTGACTGGCTCTTATCTGGCAACGGACGGCACTTGAGAAGAAGAAGGTGAAGGATTCCTAGGGGATTTGCCCGGCGGGAATACTCCGAAGCTTAAGTTAGAACGCTGGGGGGAGAAAGTAAAGAATGTAAAGAGGCTAAAGAGTGTAGGTCGCGCTAGATCACTGAGTTCTCAAGATTAGTTCGAGAGCAAGTAAAATGACTCAAAATCTGATTCGATCAGAGATCCCTCTCCCCTTCGACTAAGAGGCTTTTATAGGGGCGTTCTTGTCAAATCGAGCATAACCGCCACTGGGCTTCTGTCGGAGCCATTACCTACCAGGGATGCGCAGGTGACCGTTGCAGGGTACTACCCAATTGGATAGGTGACACGTCCCAGGAAGATAGGTACGCCACCATCTGTCGAGAGACGTGGATATAGTATGTCGAATGGGCAGGGACTGCACCGTCAATCAAGAGACGTGGCGCAATCTGACGGGTACGGTCTTGTCAGATAGAAGCTTCCTAAGAGTATCGCGTCGCTTAGTCGTGAGCTACCTTGTAGCGAGCCACCCTGTCGTGCAGCGAGCTATCTTGTCGCGAGCTACTTTGTAGCGAGCTCCTAGGGGTACTTCGAGGTGACCCTCATCGAGATTGTCTTTGGGGCAATCTTTCTGCCTAAGTGTTGGAGAGAGCTGGTTACCCTAGTTCGCGAGCTGGGATAGTCTTGGAGTATTCCCTTTCAGTAGCTCGGGGGACTTCGAGCTCGCGTTGTTGCGAGCTCCCCCTATAGCGAGCTATGACGTAGCAAACTATCCTGCAAGCTCGTTACTTACTCGCAATCAAGCTGTGGTGTTGAACTGTTGCTCGTGCTAAGTCAGGTCCACGTGTCATTGTCTCAAGGGGTTGGGTCAAATCATCCTCCATCAATTGCCCCCYACTCCTCGGGCTAAGAGTGCTACCTTAGCGTGAGGAGTTCATGAAGTGTGACAGGTGGATTTGACCGAAGTTCAAACTTGATTGACTGCTCGCATTAAATGCGTGCGCAGAAGTCAGGGGATTTCTGACGTTTCGAATGCCGAGAAATGCGCCGAAGTAGCTCTTAACTCTGGATGTCGTGCAGTCGTCATTACCTCAATCATGGGAGGCGTGCAATCAGTCACATTTCGGTTTCAGAAGACGTGCGATTAGCTTGACTACGAACCGTCAGATCTGTCTCAATCTGGGCCGTTGATCTAGGGGCACAGTGGCTATAAATAGGAGGGCCCCCAGGCCTCATTTTCTTTCACGCTAACTTGTTGTCTTCGGGTTCTGAGGTCGCGCATCCATCTAGTCTGCTCGAACTCTTCTGTTCACACCGTTTCATCTTTCCGGTGAGTCTTATTCATTCTGTCAATCATGTATGGGTATCCGTACCACGTTTATCTCCGGGATGGTGACCAGGACGACGACGCCCCCTCGAGCTCAGGGGGAGCTTGGGAGCAGGCTCCGGAGGCTCAGGAGACCTCCAGCGATGTGGCTTCTACTTCTCGGGGTAGAGAGCCCGACACCTTCGGTCCCTCCTCTATGACGATGGAGAGACTC